AAAACCAAAACAACAAAAAATGGGATCCTCCTGCTTCCACCTCACACATATGGCAGCCCAAGGCCTCGGGAAGCAATCTCCCACTGAGATATACTCCTCACTCAATAATTTATTTCAAAACCAAGGGTTCCATGGGTGTGGTGGCACACACCTATAATCCTGGCAATTTGGCAGGCTGAAGCAAGACGATTGCAAATTTGAGGCCAGCTTCAGTAATTTATAGAGACCCTAAGTAACTTAGTGACACCCTGTCTCAAAATACAAATAAAAAAATAAAAAGGGATGGGGGATGTAGATCAGTGGTAATGTACCCCTGGGTTCATCCCCAGCATGTATGAATGTATATCTGTATATATTAATCAATCAATCAATTGATCAATCAATAAATGGCTGAGGATAACTTGGTGGTAAAGTTCCCCTGGTTCAATTCCCAGTACCACAAAAATTTTTTACAAAACAAAATAAAGTTAAAGGTCACATTTTGTTCAAGAAAGTAAAGATAGCCAGGAATGGTGGTGTACCCTAAAGTCCCAGCAATTTGGAAGGCTGAGGGCTGGGGATATAGATTAGTTAGTAGAGTGCTTACCTTGCATGCACAAGGCCCCGGGTTCAATCCTCACAACAACAACAACAATAAAAAAAAAAAAAAAATTGGGAGGCTGTTTGCAGAAGAATCACAAATTTGAAGCCAGCCTGAATAACTTTGTGAGATCCTCAGCAATTTAGCAAGACTCAAAATAAAAAGAGCTAGGGATGTAGCTCAGGGGTTAAGTATTTGGATACTTAAAAAAAGAGAGAGAGAGAAAGAAAATAAACTAAGACCACCATAAAGCAATACACATGCGTTTTGTAAAATGCTATCAACTTTTAGAATTGGATGTTAAGAAAAAGATTGTCAATCTTATGAGTTGCCAACACAAAACCCCAGTTGTCAAACCAAGGTTTGTATAAAATGTATGTATTTGGGGTTGATTTCAGTATTGGTCTAATTCATACATGTGAAATGAGCCTATAAAATGTATTTATCAATATACTTCTACTTCACAAATATTTAGATAAAAAAGAAAGAAAACTCATCTCCTTTAGAGATAGTTTAGGGTGAAACTGTCCATAATCTTAAGTATCCCTTTCCTCTCTAGTCACATGTATTTTTGTTAGGACTAAATATATCAAAATCTTGGCAGTTCCCTGGCTTGCTTTCTCTCCATCTGAGTTTGAATTTTCTGCATGATTGAGTTCACCTCCAAACTATGAAAAACAAAAGTTTTCTTACTATTTAATAGAATGTGTGTGATATGGTATCCCTCAGATGATATATGTTCTCATAATGGGCCTTTGACTCACTCAGGGTCAGGCAAGAAATGGACTTTCTTAAATGTGATTACTGAAAGCACAGCAATTCATATCATAATCTTCATTTTGAGAAATAAAAAAGGAAAATGGCCACTTAAAGCTCCTGGTCTGCTGGTCAGCCCTGCTCCTCCACTTCAAGGTGGAAAATGGCTCACCTGTTAGAAGATTCTCTCAAAACCTATTCGTATCAGAAATGAGCTCTTGATCACACAAGAGCAGGTAAGCAGATACGACAGGATACAATTTTCCTACGTTTTAAAAGAATGACCTGTCTAATGAGGTGCGAAAAAATCTAAGACCTCATTATTAAGTGTAAAAAAAGAATTGTAGACCCAGAGGGCAGAACAGGATCTTAAACAAAATAAATCCAAATAATCCAAAAATTACAAGTTTACTAATACAGCATGGAAAGAGGTTTAAACCCAGCACAGCAAAGTCCTCTTTTACATTTGGTGGTAAGATTAAAAATTCAGGTTTTCGTATAAATGTGTCTGATGTAAAAGACTTTCACTGCATTTCTGAAATGGGAACCTAGCTCCTAGAAATTTTTTCGTGTGCCCATCAAGCCCTCAGTAAATGTTAGTTGATTAAATATTAGACAAAGATGACAAAGTGGGCACAAGGGACAGTAGAAACACCCCGACGAGACAGTGTGATTCAGTTACAGACAGGGTGAGCGCAGTGACGATGGGAGCAGAAATCCGACCCTACTCGCTAGGCTGCAGGGGACCCGCCACTGTCCCCTGGCAATCCGGGGTAAAGGGTCATTCAGGGACCCACAGCGGACAGCCCCGTGCCCGTAGGGAGGTCGGGGACTACGCTGGGTCAACTACTTTGGTAGTCACCAAAGCTCTGAGGACTTGGGCTAGGGGATGCGCTCGCCGCAAAAATACAGACGGGGTGCCACATAAGCGGGTGTCCCGCGTTACCGCATCCGCTGACTCAGCAAGGCCGCGGCGTGCGCGGAATGCCAAGGAGTCAACAGCGCCCGCCCGTGTACCTGGCCAGCGCACGCACGCGGCGAGGAACCGCCCGCTTGTCCTCTGGTTCCCAGTGATTGGCGGAGGGAAGACAGGGGTGTAGGGCCAAGAACGCCATTGGCGGCAATTCCCAGTCACTCCACGAGCTAGGGAGGGGAGGGGGCCTCATCAGGGAGGAACACGACTGCGAAGCGTTTTCAAGGCCGCCAGACGCCATCTTTAGCTCCTTTTTTTTTTTTTTTTGTTTACTTATTTCTGTCCTCCGCTGCTCACAAAGCTGTGTACACGATTATAAGTACAGTGGCCACAAATCAGTTTTATATGCTTGGTGGTGGCTGGTTTTAGTTACTGAAGGCCTTGGATACAGATTTTTCTACATAACGCTTGCAAAGTGGCAGTTCTTATTAGTTAAAAGAAGTTTTAATCTCTAGGGGACCCTAGGATTCCCAAGCCGAATCAACTGAGTTTAGCTTTACTTTGCCTTGGTAAGAAAGCCAAGCCAACGAAATATTCGCAGAAAGGATTCTCCCCTTAGAAACTCATAGTGAGGACATGGAATATGAACGAGCTACATTCCAAGATGTAGACATTGAATACCTAGGAAGTGGCTGTGTACCACTCTCCCTTTTCTGGGAAGCTAAATCGTGTACATAATAATGTGCAGTGATGTGGGAGACTTAAGGCAAAACCCCATTAACAATCCTGTCACTGCTATGATTACAAAGGTCACCAGAGTCAGATTAGACTAAAAAAAAAAAAAAAAAAATCCAGGTCTAGGCTTGTGGAATGATCCACATTAGAGCCAGTATTTATTAAGCAATGATCTGACTTGCAGTTTTTGTGAATAAAAATATACTTGGTACAGGTAAAAACAAAAACAAACAAACAACAACAACAACAACAAAAAAAAAAAAAAACACAAGAGAGCTCATCAGGGTCATTTTCATTATAATAAATTCAAGACCTTGGCAAGTAAGTTTATTGCAGTTGTCACTTAAGTGTCTTAAATGTCGTTTGAAATCGAGTAGGACACTAGCTGAGGAATGGATAGGTATGATTATCATCATACAGAGGTTTTGAACCCTGTAGTGGATCCTTCTATCTCCTGGTTGCTGCTAGTGACATTCCAGTTTCTCCCTGATCACCCATATACTTCCTATGCTTTCAATCCAATATACAAATATAAATTTGTTGTAGGTATTTTCTATATGACTTCTTCCTAATAAGGGAGACTGGTCTTATAAGAATGAAGTGACCATACATATACTCCTATAGCAAGGATGCTCTGCTCTGAGACTGTTGTTTTCTCATTCATTTTTCTGAGTCTCTTAGGGAGAGAGATTTTAATTCTAAAAATGCAACATTATAACCAAAAATGCATTTCTTGTTTCTTCTATCACTTGTTTTTGCTTCCTTTTGGCCCCAGAATTGGACCTGCCTGGATTTTTTTTCTGATACTTTGCCAGCTGTGGAGCTTTTCAAACAAATCCCAACCAATAAACGACCATTTTGTCAAAAAGCCAAGAGAGAATTTCCCTTCTGAACACATCAACCAAACCACACATAAAGGCCAAAATATACACAGCTGTACATTTAAGAACGTGAGACAATAAAAAGCAAAACCACTTAGGCAAAACAGTCACTAAAGGTAGCTTTGAGCCACAGATTCAATAAATTGCCTCCCCTCATTTGCCACATGAACTATATACTTCCTGATAATTATTTTTCACTAATCTGATCCTTTAAAACAGGAGCAGAAAAATACAGTAAATGCACATAGAATGAAAGTGCCTAAGTATGATAAGCATAGGGTTTCTTCTAAGCTCTAGTTTACACATGAAATCCTGTTTTGATCATATTTGGGAATACAACAGAAAAAAAAATTCACATCCTAGGGTTTACGTGGAACACATAAAAAGAATCACTTCTGAAAATCTGATATGGCACATATACACATATTGTACATATACACAAAGAATAAACCCCAAGATAATTTTTTTACAAAATTATGCTTTAAGAAACACACACACACATACACACACACACACTCACAGAGAAATGTCCTTGTGAAATTGTGTGTGCAAGACACACGGTAAGAAGGTATTTCCCCTCTCTCCAGGGAAATGAGTAACCCAATTATAATATCCCAATATTTTTAACCTATTGGACTCAGACAATTGCCACATCTAAGCCACCTGGTTTTGGTTCTGGGGAAGATGTGTAAAACGCACGCTAGAAGGCTTTTGTGAGGGAGCCTCAAATCTCTGCTTCCTTCGATGTTGCCCGTGGCAGAAATTTACATTATCCCTACACCCCGCAGTAAAAAAGAAATCTGTACTTCCCAAGCGGCTAAATTTTAAAATCCCTTAACCACAAAAATTTACCAGTTCTTAAAATGTGATAGCAAAAAGAAGAAAAAAAAAAAAAAACTCAGTAAATTTGGCTAGAAACAGTTGCACACGGCCATTCTGTTCTCAACTTCTTGGTATATTTAAAACCTTGACCAGGAAAAAGAAAGAGGAAGAGAGAGAGAAAAAGAAATGGGGGAAAGAGCAAATTCCTCTTAGCAACAGTTTCCTCACCCCAACACTGCCACAGATCTCTATTTTTAAAAATTTTGAAAACACACACAAGATTAAGGAGGGAAAAAAAATGGAAAAAGGATACCCGAAGGTCGTATGGCTCTTTGTATTCGTGTGTGTGCAAAAAGGAGGACTCGCGGAGCCCAAGCCGGCAAGCCCCGCCCCTCCCCGGACGCCCGCCCGGATTGGCCGCCGGCGACTGAAGGGCGCCCCGCCCGCGAGCACACGCGCCGCGCCCGAGGCACCGGCCCCGGGGGCCCACGCCGGCCGCGCGACCCGCGACCCCTGCAGCCCGATCCCACAGCCTGGAGGTTCCTCCCGCCCTCCCCGCCTCCGCCCGCTTCCTTTCACTTTCTCACCGGCCTTTCACCCTTTCCCATCTCTTTTTCCCAGTGAAACAAGGCCCAGTCACCAACATAAAAATCCAGAGAAAGAGCTCTGACACTTGGCCAAACTTGGTAAACTAACTTGTTAGCAGAATCATTCTAACCTAGGATTAATATCAGGCCCTAGCTCCTGGATTCCAGGTGGAATGTCTCTGGGTCATGCCTATTGCTTAACACCCTCACCTTTCAATGTACCTTCCCATGTGTGACAACGTTTAGGTTAAAGAAATAAGTCTTTGGGTATATTTTTACAGCCTGAGCCCCCAGTTTTTCCTATTTGGCAAAGATCATATTCTCAAGAAGCTAAAATGGCATCCCTTTACTTCTTGCAAAAGACCAGTTGCTTATACCTAGATGATGATGATTATCGGAGGATTATTGAAACTGGGGGTGCTATATTATTCAGCTACATTGCAATCCTTTTTATTTTTTCTGTTGAGACAGCTTTACTAAATTTCCCAGGCTGACCTCAAATTTGCAGTCTTCCTGCCTCAACCTCCTGAGTCACTGTGATTACAGGGGTGCACCACCAGGTCAGGCTTCACCTAGAATTTTACTTTATTTATTTACTGGGGATTAAACCTAGGGGAGCTCTAACATTGAGTTACATTCAGCCCTTTTTATTTTGAGAGACGGTATCACTAAATTGTTCAGGCTGGCCTCAAACTTGCAATCCTCCTCCCTTAGTCGCTGGGATTACAGGTGTGTGCCACCGTGCCTGTTAAGAAAGGACTGTTGTAAATTAAAGAACAATGAGGAAATATGGAAAGTAAATGCAAAGTGTGAAATGAGTCAAAAAAGTTATAATAGTCATTACTAGCATAATTCAGGGAAATCAAATATGGCTTAGATATTAGATAATTTGATTGTATCACTATTAAACAGGAAGGTTATTGGCATTACCAATTTAAAAGAAACTGAACTGAGTTTATTCCAAGCCAGTTTATCCAGCACCTCCCCAAACACATTTTGGCACTGACCATCAGTTAGGCCATATGCTTGCCTTCATTATTTTTTTTTTTCCCTTAGTTTGTTCAAGCTAGGCAATAGCTTTGTCTTTTATCTGAAAATGAGGTACTAACTAGCATTTATGGGTTTTTGTTTTGTTTTTTGGTGCTGGGGATTGAACCCAGGGTTTCACACATGCCAGGCAGTTTTTATGTTCTTAGTGTTATAGACTTTCTGCGTTTTTGTTTTCATTGTGCTGGGAATTATACGCAGGGTCTCATGCATGCTACGCAAGCAAGCACTCCAGCACTGAGCTATGTCCCCAGCCCTGTATTTCTTTGTATATGTTTTCCACTTAATCATTTTAAATTTTTATTTATGTAGCTATGCTGGGGATCAAACCTAGGGCCTTGTGCATGCTATAGGCAAGTGCTCTACCACTGAACTACATCCCCAGCCCTTTATAATTTATTTTCAGACAGGGTTTTGCTAAATTACCTACCTAGCCTTGAACTTGCAATCCTCCTGCCTCAGCCTCCTGAGTAGCTGGGATTACAGGTGTGTGTCACCATGCCTGGATATTTTCTTGGCCAAGGGGCTGGGGACATACTTGCCTCAAATGCACAAAGCCCTAGGTTCAATCCCCAGCACCACAAAAAAAAAAAAAAAAAAAAAAACAAACAAAAAAAAAAAACCTGGCTTTAAGATCACCAGGATCTATTAACTTTTTATTTTTTTCCAATGCTAGGGATTGAACCCAGGGCCTTGTGTATCCAAGGCAAGCATTCTACCAACTGAGCTATACCCCCAATCCAATTATTAACTTTTGATACAAATACACTTGGGACTTCTCACATTCTCTCTCTCTTATTGGTACTGGGGATTGGACCCAAGGGTACTTTACCACTAAGTTACATTCCCCAGCCCTTTTTGTTTGTTTGTTGTTGTTGTTTTTTGTTTTTTTTTAAATGTGGCATTTATACACAATGGAGTATTATTTATTTATTTTTAGTTCTCGGCGGACACAACATCTTTGTTTGTATGTGGTGCTGAGGATCGAACCCTGGCCGCACGCATGACTGGCGAGCGCGCTACCGTTTGAGCCACTCCCCAGCCCCTGTTGTTTTGTTTTGAGACAGGCTTTCCCTAAATTGTCGGGCTGACCTTGAATTTATCTTCCTGCTTCAAACTCCTAAATCCCTGGAATTACAGGCTTGTACCACCATGGCCAGTTTGGAATCTCATATTCTCAATGTGCAGATGATCCGTTCTCAAAACTGTTAGGGTAAAGGGAAAACAGAAATGTTTATTATTTTAATGAACAACTGTAGAGCATTTACTTGGTGCCAGGCACTCTGTATTTCATTTAATCAATTTTTTTTTTTCCAGTATCCAGTGGACACAACATCTTTAATTTATTTGGTGCTGAGGATCGAACCCAGCGCCCCGCACATGCCAGGAGAGCACTGTTACGGCTTGAGCCACATCCCCAGCCCTGCTATTGGGTATTAAACCCGGTGTGCTATACCACTGAGCTATACCTCAGCCCTTTTTATTTCTTTATTTTGAGACAGGGCTTTGCTAAGTTGCTGAGGCTGGGCCTTCAACTTGCAATCCTCCTACATTAGCCTCCTAAGTCGCTGCAATTATAAATGTACTCTACCCCACTCATCCTCATTTAATCAATTCTTTGAGATCTATTACACTTCTCTACTGCTGATGAAAAAAAAAAAAAACACAAAAAAACTAAGAATCTGAAGGGGGTTGTTAAATTACCTCAAGGTCACTGAGTTCATTAACTCAGTGATGGCCAGTGATGGAGTCAGAACTTGAATCCAGGTGAGTTGACTGCAGAACCTGAGCTCTTGGCTATTCATTAGTCTCTGCTTAAATTGAAATCCACTCTATCTTGATGTTAACCTTTTCACTGTGTTGTTCTAAGTCCATGAAAGACAGAGCCTTTACTCTGATGATCAATGGAATTTTCATATCCCCCTATAGTCTCCTGGGATATATCTTTATATTTTTATTTGTTCTTTTAAATCTGGGATATATTTTAAATTATGAGTCTGTTTCTATAAAGGTCTAAGTTGGAAGAGTCATTTATTTTTAAGTTTCTTTCCCCCTCTATGATTATGGGGGAATCTTTGAAAAGAAAGTTTAAGTAAAGCACTTTGTGCTAAAGCAATGAGAATAGGAAGAAAATGCGTCTGTTTCACCTAAAAATTTACAATTTTCAACTCTAAAAAAATTGAGATTTCAAATGTTAGACCTTACATATGACTTGTTGGTTAAGGAGAAGCTGCTTGCTTATATGGCTTTGAATCCAGCAGATCTTTTATTGTAAGCTGTTTTTATTCTTGAGATCCCAAAGGGGCCTCTGAACAGTGAAACGTAACTTGCCCTAGAGTGAGGCCAGAAAGCTATTTCTGACTGTCATTCATTAATACACCTGAGAGCATTTTAAAACAGTGCAAGGAAATTCTACAACCAGCTGAGAATGTGTCCTCAGAGTGGGCAGATTCAATTTTTAAGGAAAAATATTCTGAATTTGACTGATTATTAAGTACAAAAGAAATTGTATAAACAGCTGGGAAGTGTTTTCTTTTTTCTTTCTTTTTTTTTTTTTGGTACCAGAGAGATTGAACCCAGAGGCAATAACACCAAGCCACATCCCCAGCCCTTTTTAATATTTTATTCAGAGACAGGGGCTTGCTTGCTAAGTTATTTAGGGCCTCACTAAGTTTCTGAGGCTGGGGGCTTTGAATTCACAATCCTCCTGCCTCAGCCTCTGAGCTGCTGGGATTACAGGCATGTGCCCAGCTGGGATCACTAAAAAAATAAAAGCGAAAGCCAGGCAGTGGCACACACCTGTAATCCAGTGATTAAGAAGCTGAGGAAGGAGGATCACAAGTTCAAGGTCAGCCTGGGCAACTTAGTAAAACCGTCTCAAACAATAAAAAGATTTGGGGATGTAGCTCAGTAGTAGTGTTCTTGGGTTCAATCTCCAGTAACACACACACACTCCCACACACACAAAGAGCTACCATATTTTCAAAAGCATCCCCTCTACCTTGGTCCCTTATGGACTACACACACTTCTGCTTGGACTCACTTGTTTCCCTTCTTACCTAAAGCCCACGCTATTACTCAGTCTTCCTACCTTTATGGCTCCCCCTTCCATCTTGAACCACCTTGGCCCTGACCTGTGGGCCTGTATAGAAATAAGGAGAGAAACCCCTTAGTTAACCTAAAAATAAAATGTTCAAAGGCACCAAATATTTGATCCTACCTCATTTACCCTGTTGCCTTATGAGAGAGCTTTCTATTTTTCTGCCTTTGACCTGGCTGGGTTGAGAAGGGAGCCATGAGAGAGCTCAAACCTTCTTTCCAACCTTGCATAAGTGGTATAGACATGAAGAGATCCTTGTGGAATGTAAGTGACTGTGACAGCACAGGGGCAACACATAGAGAGGCACGTGTTCATTATGTATGGCTGGAAAAATTATCTGTCTCCAGGGGGACATGTTTCACTGTGCATTAGCTTCCAGCCGCTTCCTTCTCCTACATCTCTGCCCACTCTGTGGCTGTCCTTCTCAGTCTCCTTTCCCACTCCCTGTCTCTCCACCCCATAGTCCAGTTCTGCCTGTCACTGTCTCCATCCATCTTTCTCAGCCATGTCCATGTCTCCTCTGCACTTTGTTCAATCTCATGCTTGCTGTCTGGGAGCTGCTTTTCTGTGACTGTCTCATTTGTCTGTTGTTCTCTCTAGCTCCCTTTCTCCCATTCCATGTGTGTTTTCTT